GGGTGACTCTACAACTCCTCTGCCTTACCTCCCCACCACCCCTCACCACTAATTCAGGGACTTAATTTCAAACCTTACCCAGTCCCTGCTTTGCCACCCAATTTCAACCTCAAATAAAATGACTAATAAGGCAAACATAAGTTTAAGCAAAAAGTGCATTTTATTTTCAGGGAACAAACTTTAGTCAACCTTAGACTGAGAGTTCAATTAACGAATCCAACTTGGCTGGGCAACATTTGGGACATTGCAACACATCTTCTCAACAAAAGTTTACATTCAGTACATGTTGCCAGTGATAACATATCAATATGAGGCATTATTTTTACTGCTGGCCATACGAGGAAATTCAAAGAGACTTTGATAAGCTTCCTAAGCCACCACTACACTGTGATACACCTACCTGCTTGAACTACTACAATTGCTCTGTGAATATTTTCCTCTTGCATTCTAGTACAATATGTCTTTATAGTTTTAATTCCTATTTTGGCCTCATCAGGGAAGAAAACAAACATTTGATCTGTTGGATCATCATTGTGTGCAACAAGAACAATTAAGTCACTTCTTGCAGGTCGCTTTTCACTGAAAAAAAATATATATATTGTGTATATGTGTATATTGAAGGCACGTTTTTAAAAAGCATGTCAATAAATTAAAAAAAAAAGTTTAAAATATCAATATCAAACTTTTTCGTTTTAAGAAAAATAATAATTTGACAGTTATAAAAAAATTTCAAAATTCATCTGCTTTGACACAAAAATCACACAAATTCAAAGTTTAAGTTAAAATAACCAACAAAAATGCAAGATATAGATAAAAAAATTAAGATAGATAGATTTCAAAACACTTTATCTAATACATCAAAATTGTATTTGGGTAAGTCTTGCATTATGTACCCAAAAGTATGTACCTTGGTTTATCACCAAACTGTTCCTTGAACTGCTCCAATGTCTGATCCAATTCATCTTGTGTTACTAAATAACCACGATCATGACAAAGCTGAAGTTTCAAAAAGAGATTAAGATTAAAGTCTTGGTTATAAGTGTTTAAATTCTTCACCTAAACTACTCAATACCTGCATAACTGTTTTACGAATTCTCCAAAGCTTATAAGTTTCTGCATCATCGTCCATATTATTTAATTGTTATTTACGCTAATATTAAAGACAATATACGTTTTGATAAGACAATATACGTTGTGTCAAAACACCTAAGTTAACTCTGAAGAAGCTAAAGCTAACCCGTAGACGTAGATTACTAGATTACTGAGCTAACCTAACCTAATACCTAACCATATCCCACAGAGTACTTTTTTATATATAGGAACCATATATCATCTAGACAGAAGATTCAAGATTGTTTAATGCGTTTCAGTTTGTACAAAGGTACTCTGTGTTTAATGTGCGTGTTGTTGTTGTTTTTTGTTACACTTTTAATTTAAACTGGCTATACGGCTGTGGAATCTAGCCCTTCTGAGCTTGTGTTTTTGTTACTATTAAAACTGTGCCACAGATTAATAAATATTTAAAGTATAAATGTACTAGCAGGTACCTACTTCATAACTTAGTTTAGTTTGTGTTTGTAATTAAAATTTTGGCTTTGGTAGTGATTTTAAACTTTAAAGTTTGTCTCTGAGGTAGATATTATATCAGAATCAAAAGTTGGTAGTTTCCTACCAGTCCTACTTTGAAAAGTTAGTAGATCCACCACCTATATTTTATATGTTTTCTAAAGACACACCAATAATAATGTGATACTAATAATTAATGTTTTTATATTATAACAAATATTTCACCTCTTTTTATAAAGTACCCCTTGTGAAAGCAGGATGATTGGTCATCAATTCCCAAAATAAAACTCGAAAAAAATAAAAAATTGAAATAGGATACTGTAAAGTTTAGTATATCCTGATTTAATAGTTTTTAGTTGTAAATATTCAATTCCTTTATAAACTTATTTGAACCTGAACGCAATTTATAACAGTGATAATTGAGAACTCACTTGAGATTATATGGTATGCTATTATTAGAATCGATTAATATAAAATAACCTTGAAAGCTATTGTTTTTATTTTTCTATAATAAAAGTAGTTCGAGTTGCGAAATATACGTACATTAATTTGCGCTTGTACTTCTTATTAGTTTGTGCATTTATTTTTACTAAGGAAATCCCGCTACTTAAACGTAGTGATTATATTCTCTTTGGTCTGAGCATAAACTCTATAAAAATATATCTGGGTCCGGGGTGGATAGACAGACACGCTGTTCCGAGTATCCACCCCAGGATAGATTTTTTAGGGTGTATAAATGGAATATTCCCCAGGAACATACTGGTTATACGACGTGCGCGTGGAGTGGTGGGATTGCGTTGAATACAGTAAGTGTGTTTAATGTATAGTTTTTCATACAAAATCAAGAGTCTAGATATCATAGTACATGGCATACGTTGCGCACGTGGGACCAGTCTATCTGTCTGTCTCTACCTTAACTGTTTCTTGTATATACAATGTACTCTGTGAGTAACTGTCCTTGGTAGCCTTGGTTGCTTGGAGACACAAAGTAAATTTTACATTAACATTACTCTTAGATGTGGTCAAAGAGTATACATAATACGTAAAGTCATTAGTTTTGTGTAGTTCGCGAACGATTAATGTATAGGAAACGTATGTTAGCACTGGAATGTATAGCTTGCTACGTAACTATTTATCTATGGTAATGTACTAGAAAAACGTTTCCGAATGCTAATTGATAATTGGTCTAATAGAGAATTTATAAGTAAACTATAGAGTGCGCATTAACGAGCTTGAACAGTAAGCACGGGTGTGTACAGTTTCAAAATGGCAAGGGCAACTTTAGTCACGTTGACACGTAAGCTATTTGAATTTGAAGTTACCATGGTGAAAATACAATGAAAAGCTGTAAAAACGATTCACTGAAGCAAACTAAGACGAACATAGTATTTATTTTCATCGGTATGTAATATTTTGATAAGAAAACAATAATTTTAACACAATTACTTAGGGTGTCGAAGGTTGTAAAGGGAGGCCTCGCCCTTTGGTTTTCCCCGATTTAGAACTAATGTTGTGCCACGTTGTACCTACTCGAATATTTTTAATAACATGATTTCTTTCATAATAATTATAATACAATAAATACTAGTTAATCCCTTGTATTTCTAGCCCTGAAGGATAAATGTCTAAAATAAAACTTTTGAATGAATTTTATAGGTGAATATAAAAGTAAAATAATTTTCTAATTTCAGATTTCCGAAAAGCCGTGAATTGACAAATAACTGGGTAGTAGCAATACAAAGACCCAACTAGGAGCCCAACATTAGGAATTTTGTTTGTCTCTTTAGCTTCGTACATCTTTGAAAGCAAGGGTGGACTGCGCAAACTGGTTAAAGGTGCAATACTAGAGCTTAAAATTTGACGTAAGATTAGATACACATGTAAGTGTATCTAATCTTACGTCAAATGTTTAATTTTAACATTGCTTATTAAATAGCGATTGGAAAACTAACTAGCGCAATTATTAATGTAGGTACCTACGTAATTACGTGTGTAAGTTCACGATTTTTTCAAAACTAATGGATGTTATTCAAAAATAAATTTTAATTAAAATGAAATATCTTGTACGTGAAACTGCGTTCAAGTAAACAAAACGACAATTATGTAATAAGTTTACCTTTTTTAAGAGGTAGTAATTTAATAAGATTAATAAAGATTTTGATTAATAAACATGGTTTTGTAAATTCGTACCTGTATTTTATTGATATGTTAAATAAAACCTATCTTATAATCATCAACATACTTATAATTTAATTAATACTTACCTAATTTAAACGAATAATTTAAGTACAATAACGCATAGGCTTCAATTGTGGTGAATCAATCCTGTGTGAATCAACCTCTTCATCTATGTGTCAGTGATTACGCCTGGCAAAGTGAGCAATGAGTAATAATCGCGGTTTATAGCTTAATTATGTATACTCTAAGATTTTTGGCGATCTTTTTTTACAAAATCAATATTTAGGATATTACCTAATCATTAAAAATGTAAAATATATAGATTATAGTCTTTGATACCATGTTTTAAAACTCACATTACTGGAAATAACGCTAATGTATCAATGACTTAAATTTCTAAACGTTGCTGACGAACATTTTTTTTTTAAATTTAAACATCGATGTTTTAGGCAACTAACATGAAGTACTTCCTTGTTTTCAAGGTTTCAAGTGGTTTCAAGCATCAATGATGTGTGCTCTATTATAACCGTGTTTTCTTAGGGGAGGTTTATCTTCAGCTGTGGACGTGTATAGGGCTGCCACGATGATGATCTCTATAACCATTAACCACCGACTATTATGATCACAAACTAATAAGAAGTGCTAGCACAATTATGATTACGCATATTACAACAGACTGTGCATCGATAATGGTGTATAATCTATGCATCGATGTATCGTTTGCAATTGCATCCCTACATCATATTAGTCTGTGCATCCCTAATTCCAAATTGTCATTTGTCATTACAAATAAAATCAATTTCAATGGTAATTTTGTTTGATGTAAGTTAAGAATATCAGTAATTTTTTATTTAACAATATGGCAGGAATTAAAGGTGAGATTCTTTTTTTATTATAAGTTTTACCTCATTTTTCTCAATTGCAAAAGACTATTTTACCTCAAATTATTCTCATTGAGTATGAGTCATAATACGTACCCTGTGATAAAAAAATATATTTACAAACACTATTATTATAAGTAATAGCCATGAAGCTCATTGATTTCTATTTTTCTTTTTCATGCCAATTCATCGACGTTTTTAGGGTAAGTACCTACACATATTCAATTAATTTATGATTACAATGTCATCATTTGTTTATTGTACTCATTTGATAAAATTATGGTATGGTAACTTATAATTACCTAAACATCTACACACTGCATTTCATTCCTTACTTTATTAATTCTGATCATAGACCAATTGGGCTAAGGTGCTATGAGGTAGAATTTTTAATAAAATATTAATTTATTATTACGTTGCAATTGGTATATTAAGCCATCATCAATTAAAGAATTGTAACAACTTGTCACTTAATGATTTTAAATTTGCTCACCTCCACTACTCACCATATTAATATTTAAATAGTAAAAAATATTTATTTAAAAATCAAAATACATTTTAAAAGTTACGCAAATGTATTGCTTTATTTATAATTGACATTCATCTTACTCTAATGATTTTCTATATAACAAGTAGTGTAGAAATGAAAAATAATGCAAAAATTACTCTGAGTTACTATTATATTTTAAGAAATGGTTTTACGAAGTGTTTTCTATTGTCATCTTTTTAACTTGTGTTCTTTCATTTTTAGTCTGGTTTCTCTTGCATTTGCTGGCTCCGTTGGCATGACATTTGTGATATTGGCATGTGCACTGCCTCAGTTTAAGTAAGTATAATGTAACAGTACCCGGATGACCGAGCTTTGCTCGGTTTTTTTTTAAGTTACATTTAGATACAAATTACATGAATAATATTTTTTGATTTTATTGACATAATAGAAAAAACTGAACTGGTGATTTGAATGAAAATCATGGGTGCAATTAGTTTAATTAAAATTTTTCTTATTTTTAAAAATTACTAAAAAAAGGGCTCGAAATAATAGATTTTCTCACAAAAGAAGGGAATTTTAAAGGGACACGAACCACGGAACTCGGATATCACGCCTGATCGACATCCCACCTGAGCTATTATGATCATTAGTAGTCTGTCAAAATTTACCTTCTTATATTATAGCAGTTTTTTATTGCCTGAAAACACGAACAAAAGGACATTTCCATAATCGTTGGAGCCGTTTCCGAGATTCCGATTATATATATATATATATATATACATCCCGTAATTTATTGTACGTCCACTATGGCCAATTTTGCATATAATGTGGCGTCAACCTGCTTACGACGTCCAATATACGGACGTCAAATAGGAGACTTAGCGCAATGTTCGCAAATTGTCATGCTGATCACAGAAATGTCAAAATCTTAAAAAAAATTGGACGTCATTTTTCTTCCAATCTTGCTGTACTGAATATTTACGAAGTTCCGCTGATTTTCGTTGCAAAAATAATAGCGCTGCTGTCGATTTGTGAATACTTTCATTTATGGCCGTATTTGACTTCCGCACAAAATTAGGAGATGCGACGTTGCCGTTCCGACACCGTTGTAAATGTGTTACTTGTATTTGGTGATATATGGTTATGACTGCCTCGTTGGTCTAGTGGTTGTAGTAGTGCGACTGCTGATCGTGAGGTCTTGGGTTTGAATCCCGTGTCGGGTCAAAAATTCAATTATTGAGTTTTTCTGTCAAGAAATTCTCAATAGCTGCCCGGAGTCAGGAAGTTGATGGTGTATCAACCCCTTGCCTCGGAAAGCACGTAAAGCCGTTGGTACTACGCCTGATCTCTCTTCGGTCGTGTCGGTTTACCGTCCCATCGGATTATGAGAATGAGGGAATAGAGAGTGCACCTGTGGTTGCGCATACACTTGAGCACTATAATCCTGTCCTGCGCCGATGGCTAATCTCCGTTGAGGCAGGCCGCCGTGACAGTAATTCGGTCTGCAGGACATTATTATATGATTTATACTGCGCTTGGTACAAGTAATTTTACTATTAAACTTGTTTTCTTAACCTTACATTTACCTACACATAATACGGACGTCCTAATATCCTAAAACTTTCATACTGAATGATATTTGACATCCGTATTTTTGAATTTAGTTATATTTTTATAAATGTAGATGCGGACGTCGGCTTATCGGTTTATTTCATGCTGCACTATATTTTAACATTTTAAATTTGGTACTAATCTGCCTAAAAGAACTCTTGTTAGGTATTTCGTAAGCAACCCATAATTCTGTTTGAGTATAAGTTACCTTCTGATTGAGTACAGGAAGATGGACTCAATTGTAGATATTGACAGGTTTCATAGAAGTTTGTTTTATTATATTGTGACTAATAACCTTTGACTAATAACCTAATATGGTCTGGCGAAGAAACTCATTTTAATATAAGGTTTTACTGCATTAACTGCCAGTAGGTTGTTAATTTGTACAATAGACCATGGCATATTGTTGCTGACATAACTCCTAAAATATAATTTATTTACTTGATCGTGTTGAGTTTTGGTGCTCTCACTGCATCGTAAGGATGAGTGCGACTATTGTACTTAATCTGTACTAAATTACTCTCTACTTAACTAGATTAATTTTTGTGAAAGGCTATTTTTGTTAAATTATGATATTATGTTTGGTTTTGCAGTTAGTTGAAATACAATTTAATTTTTCACACACGTTTTCTAAGCTTCTAAGCGTTTTATCATTTCTAGAACGAAACATATTATAAAACAACAAAGTGACTATTTTACACCGCATGGCCTCCCTACACTAAAATACGAATAAAACAATAGCGAAAAATGTCATTAAAGCAATGGTCATTAATGTGTGTCTTCATCATCATCATCGTCATCATCATTACAGCCCTTCACAAGTCCACTGCTGAACATAGGCCTCCCCCAAGTAATGCCACAAAGCACGGTCCTGAGCCACCTGCATCCATCGACTTCCTGCATGTCTTACCAGGTCGTCACTCCATCTAGTGGGGGGTCGCCCTACACTACGCCTACCGGTACGAGGCTGCCACTCGAGAACCTTTCTTCCCCATCGGTTATCGGTTCTTCGAGCTATATAGCCGGCCCATTGCCACTTCAGCTTACTAATCCGTTGCTTACTCAGCTTACTAATCGTAATTGGGCTATGTCGGTCACTCTGGTTCTACTGCGGATATCCTCATTTCTAAGTTTATCACGCAGAGAAACTCCGAGCATAGCCCTCTCCATAGCTCGCTGAGCGACCTTAAGCGTCCTCATACGGCCAGCAGTGAAGGACCACGTCTCAGATCCGTAAGTCATCACTGGCAACACGCACTGGTTGTACAATCTAGTTTTTAGAGATTGAGGTATACCTGACGAAAAGATATGTCGTAATTTCCCGAACGCTGCCCAGCCGAGTTGAATCCGTCGATTGACCTCTCGGTCGAAGTTGGACTTACCTAGTCGGACTATTTGTCCCAGGTAAACGTATTCGTCAACAACTTCGAGCATAGTGCTCCCAACAACTACCGGCATAGGTGTGACATGGACATTAAACATGATCTTTGTTTTGTCTATGTTCATCTTAAGACCTATCCGTTGGGAGGCACTATTGAGGTCATTGAGCATAATGCTTAAGTCCTCCAGCGATTTTGCCATAATGACTATATCGTCGGCAAATCGAAGGTGAGTGATGTACTCGCCATTGATGTTAATACCGTATCCTTTCCAGTCCAGTAGCTTGAAAACGTCTTCCAACGCAGCGGTGAAGAGTTTCGGGGATATAACATCACCCTGTCTTACACCTCTCTGCAGTTGGATAGGTTTCGAACTCTGGTTCTGTACTCGGATAGCCATCGTAGCCCTACTGTACAAACACTTCAGCACTTCGATGTACCGACAGTCAACTTGGCACCGCTGAAGGGACTGTAGCACCGCCCAAATTTCGACGGAATCAAAGGCTTTCTCATAGTCCACATATGCCAGGCAAAGTGGCAGATTGTACTCTTCGGTCTTCTGTACAATCTGCCGCAGGGTATGTATGTGGTCTATGGTACTGAAGCCTTTTCGGAAACCGGCTTGTTCGGGAGGCTGGAAGTCGTCGAGTCTGCGTGCGAGACGATTCGTAATGACTCTCGAAAATAGCATGTAGACGCGGCTCAGAAGGGAAATCGGTCTGTAGTTCTTCAAGAGAGCGTTGTCGCCTTTCTTAAAGAACAAAACCACCGCGCTTCTGCTCCACGCCTCCGGAGTAGTGCCACCATGGAGGACGGAATTGAAGAGCTTCCGAAGGACTTCAAGTACCGGTTTTCCACCCGCTTTCAGAAGCTCCGCTGTAATTCCATCCTCACCCGGGGCCTTGCCGTTTTTAAGGTGGTGGAGAGCCATTCTAATTTCGCTCAGTCTGACCTCCGGGATATCATCGGAATAGTGTCGGATAAGACTTGCTCTTGGATCGTTACTCACACTTGCGTGTGGCTCCAACGATGATGTGTACAGCTGCCCATAGAACCTCTCAATCTCACTCAAAATCTCAGGTGTCCCGGAAACGATGTTGCCACACTCAGTCTTCAGCTTTGACAGTTGGCTCTTTCTGGCAGACAGATCTCTGGCAAAGACTTTGGAGCCCTGGTTCCGCTCGATCGCTTCTTTAATACGAGAAGTATTAAAGTTGCGTAAGTCTCGTCGCATGCATTTGGAGATCTGTCTGTTCAGTTGCCTGTATGCTGTCAAATCTGTTGACGATTGCAGCCTCATCTCCCGTCTAACAGCCATGAGATTAAGAGTGTGATCGGAGAGTTTTTGTGTTCTTCTGCGGCGGGTCTTGCAGAACTTAGCTCCGACCGCATGGACAGTTTCCACGAGCTTGTCGTTCATATCGTCCACTGCATTGCAATCTTCTAGGCACTGGAAGCGGTTACGTAACTCGAGCTGAAAGGTTTCGGGATTCTGGATTAGAGCACGAGGGGGACGGAGCGTTGACTTCATTAGACGAGACCTCTCCAACTTAACGTTTAGGTTCAGTGTGCCTCTAACCATTCGGTGATCGCTGCCAGTTTTCACCCTTGCGATCACTGAGACATCACTGAACAGTTGGCGTCTGGTCGTCATAATGAAGTCAATCTCATTTTTTGTCGAACCGTCGGGGCTCGACCAGGTCCACTTCCTATGGGGCCGCTTCTGGAAGAAAGAGTTCATCATAAAGAGTCCCTCTTTCTCCATAAAGTCGGCCAGCTGCTGGCCCCTTCGGTTCCGTTGCCCTACTCCAAATTTCCCTACCTTCAGCTCACCGCTTTCTCTTGTGCCTAGTTTTGCGTTGAAGTCTCCCATCAACACCGTGTAGTGGGTTTTGGAGGAATGCATGGCTCTGGAAATATCCTCATACATTTCCTCCACCTCCTCATCGGGATGTGCCGAGGTTGGTGCGTAAACCTGAATGACCTTCAGCGAATACCGTTTGGTGATTGTGAGTATCAGGTACGCGACCCTCGTCGACACACTCCCAATCTTTACAACGTTGTTGACGAGAGACTTGTGGACGATAAATCCGACACCTCCTTGGGACAGATGGTCGCCCTCCCGGTGATAGAACAAGTTGCCGGACTCGAGGATTGCCGTGTCCTCCCCCTCTCTTCGGACCTCGGATAATCCAATAATATGCCAGCGCAACTTGTCTACCTCTTCTTCCAGCTCTAGTATCTTCTCGTCAGTCCTCAGGGTGCGTGCGTTATATGTTGCCAGGTCGAGTCGTCGTAGGTGGCAACTGAACCTCCACCGGAGATTCTTAGCACCCCCTGCCCCGC